GCTGCGCCGCTTTCCCCCTGCCCTGTATCTTCGCTCTCAAGGTAAGCAGCTTGTCCACGCATTTCTTCGTCTCCAAAGTGCCTGCGGGCTGTCGCTTACCAATGTATCCCCCGAAATACCCATGCGTAACTACCTGCATGCGCTGAATTGCTCGAGTGGCTCTCCCCAGACTCTGCTTCTTCATGATGCAGCGTTTCTTCTTGCAGCAAGTCTCATGCGTTTGCTCGATGGTCGGCAGTCGGTCATTCGGTTTCACGTCACTGTTGCTTCCTGCAAAAGCGACGCACAGGCCCGGCATGCATCCGTTCAGCCACTCCTCATTGCGCAGTCCGCGGGCTTGCCCCAGCCAAGTTCGGACTCCGCTTGTGCGCAGCGTGAACTTCTTGGCAATGCCCTTGCAAACCAGCAGCGACGCCGTCACCCACTCGGGGGGCACTCTGTTGGTCCACGGCACCTCGTGCTTGCACTCTCTTTTGTTCTTCTTGGAAGCGCAGGCGTTGGGCACCAAACGCTTCTCCTGCTTGGTCTTCGAATCCATCACCAGTCGATGTATGTGGTGCTGGCGCCGACACATGAAATACTGTAGAGCGCCGTTGAACTTCTTCTTGAAGGTGGCGTCGTCGCAGTTCAGGCCGAGCTTCTGAGCTTCCCCTGGAGCTCCCTGCGCGGAGAAGCCCACGCCGGCTCTCGCGTCATCATACAAGAACCGAGGCAACCGGCGTAATTTGAACCCCCCCCATGCTGGCGATCCAGAGCATTCGGACGACTCCGTGTATGTCGGGAAGTTCTGCTCTCTAGCAAATTGGTCCACGTCGGGATATCTCTCAAAGCAGATTTGCCAGAGGAAATGCTTCGGCTCCGTCGCATTCACGAGACCTTCCTCGATTTTCTGGGCGATCTCCTTCAGCGTGGCGAACTGGCGCAGGCGCTGAACGAACATGAAAAAAGGATAATGCAGCCCCCCTGTCGTTTTCTGAGCCTCCACGGCGCCGAACAAAGCGTCCACGCGCCCTGCAATGCCTCCCATGGCTTCAGCGTTGCTGCCGAGGGCGTCCTGGCACGGCGATCCAGCTTCAGAGCACTGCGGACAGCGAGGGCACATGCGCACTCCGAGCATCGTCGCCAAGACCGCGCGGATCTGCGCGAAGAATGCGTTGGAGGCGGCCAAGGGGTCCTCCGCGTCCTCTGGAGACGGCTCCAGGCTCGGCGAATCGCTCTTTGCCCACTTCTGCCTCCTGCTCTCGCCTGCAACGAAAGGATCGTCCTGGCGGTATCTGCTGAGCCTGAGCGCTAGATAATTATGCCTCTCTCCTGGGGAAATAGTACAGAATATGCCATTCCCGTAGTTGACGCAAGCCCAGGTCCCCAGGTGCCCAATCTTCGTCCGAATCTCCTGCGTGCCTGGAATGGCCCGGCATCGAAAGCGGAAGTCAGCCAAGAGCCGCCGTTGCAGGTTTCCGAGGCCGACTGCGAAAATCAGCTTACTGGTATCATTGTTGATCTTTCGGCGTCCGCCATCGGGTAACGTGTAGTAACCCTTCTCGAGCTTCTGCAGTAAATCAGCGGCGGCTATGGCAGCGTCGGTCTCCACGCTCTCTGCGCTTTGGCCTTGCAACCGTTCCCCACGCTTGATGCTCAGGCTTGCTCCGAGATTGACGCGCTCGCGAAAATATAGATTCCACAAGGCCGGCGCAAAGCCCCAAGTACGTCGGAACTGGCCTTCTATCCGTTGCGGCAAGCCGCGCGTGAGATCAAACAACCTCACTGTGGTCGCTGGCCCCATTGCAAAATGCGCGCCCGGTAGTTTCCGCTGGGCTACGCCCACTGACGGCTCGAGCCACCTGTGCAGAAGCCCACGTGGGGTTGGGAGATCTCTCGTCTCTGGTCGACGCCAACGAGGTTGGTTCGGGACGTCGTAGCCGCCAACAGCACGCGGCAGCGTGAAAGGAAACGCCATGCCCAGGTACCAGGCGGTATGCTGATTCGTCAGGTCCGTCCCACTCTGGATGTTGACATCGCCGAACCTGGCAAACACGGACTTGTAATCCCACCAGCCCTTTGGGCGCGAGTGGTTTAGGGAGCTTTCTCTGTTCTCAACCCCCCAACCCCCCTTCTTCCCCTTCGGGGAGGGGTTTACCCCTCCCCCTACCCCCTCCCCCTGGACCTGGACAGGGAGTCCGGGGTGTGCTCAGGGGGGTCTTTTTCGACTCCAGGGAGGGCCAAAAAACGACGACCCTCACGAGGATTCTGGCCCCGACGGGGGGAGGGAGGTTGGCCCCTCTGCTCTTCTTTGAAGCAGAAAACATTGATTTTACTAGGGTGTTGGCCCCATTTTGGTTTTCTGAGGGGGCCGCGCTCATCTTCCCTCATAGCAAAATCATTGATTTTACGAGGGTTTTGGCCTCATTTTGTCCTTCTCAGGGGGCAGCTCCCATTTGCGCTTCTGAGGAGGTCGCAAGAGGCCCCAAGATGGCTCCAAGAGGCCCCCAGGAGGCTCCCAAGAGGCCTCCAAGACGCCCCCCAGAGGCCCCCAAGCGGCCCCAAGAGGCCCCCAAGAGGCCCCCAAGAGGCCCCCAAGAGGCCCCACGAGGCCCCAAGAGGCCCCCAAGAGGCCCCCAAGAGGCCCCCAAGAGGCCCCACGAGGCCCCAAGAGGCCCCCAAGAGGCCCCCAAGAGGCCCCCAAGAGGCCCCCAAGAGGCCCCACGAGGCTCCAAGAGGCCCCCAAGAGGCCCCACGAGGAGCCCGAACGACTCACACCAGGACGAGGGGCCCGAACGACTCACGCCACGAAGAGCCCGAACGACTCACACCACAAGGAGGGGACCCGAACGACTCACACCAGGACGAGGCGCCCGAACGACTCACACCACGAGGAGCCCGAAGGACTCACACCACGACGCGGGCCCCGCACGACTCACACCACGAGGAGCCCGAACGAGTCACACCAGGAGGAGGGGCCCGAACGACTCACACCAGGATGAGGGGCCCGAACAACTCACACCACGAGAAGCCCGAACGACTCACACCAGGACGAAGAGCCCGAACGACTCACACCACGAAGAGCCCGAACGACTCACACCAGGAAGAAGGGCCCGAACGACTCACACCAGGACGAGAAACCCCAAACGACTCAAATCACGAGGAGCGCTTTCTCTCCCTCCTCCTCCGCCTCGTCCTTCTCCCGCTCCCCCCACAAGGAGGATGTACAAGGAGGCGGGAGGAAGGAGGAACAGGGGAGATATGCGGGGCCAAGCGGACACACGCCTGAAAAACACGACTGTCGGCATGCTTCGCGAGAGTTGGTGCTGTGAGATGGGCTGGTGGGGATACGCGAAGCGTAAAGAATTCCACCGAAGGCCCCAATGGCAAAGTTCGCATGGCGGCCCCCGCCCCCATGTCGTCACACCCCTCATACGCTTCGTGGCCTCATAAGAGAGCTCCGCCGAAGGCCCCAGTGGCAGAGTTCGCATGGCGGCCCAGCCTCCATTTCGGCACACCCCTCACACGTCTCGGGTCCCCACAGGGAGCTCTACCGAAGGCCCCAGTGGCAAAGTTCGCATGGCGGCCCCGACCCCATTTCGGCACACCCCTCACACGTTTCATGGCCTCACAGGGAGCTCCACCGAAGGCCCCACTGGCAAAGTTCGCATGGCGGCCCCGCTCCCATTTCGGTTTGCCGTTTCACACGCTTCGTGGCCACACAGGGAGCTCCGCCGAAGGCCCCAAAGGCAAAATTCGCATGGTGGCCCCGCCCCATTGCGGCACACCCCTCACACGGTTCGTGGCCCTACAGGGAGCTCCACCGAACCGTTACGCATAATGTGGTACTCACAGCTGCATATGGTTGGGTCCTTCGCCTGGATATGTTTTTTGTTTCTCTAATGGCCCTCACCTTGACACATTGCAGCGGAGCGACTCTTCCACAACGACTCCCTCGTGGACGGGTCTGACTCTCCGCTCTGCACCCAGGCGCCCTGGGCGCCACACTTTCTGTCTCCATGAGGAGCCGCCTGCTAGTACACAGAATTTGAAGTCCTCCCCAGGGGTCCTCCTCTGGGAGAGTCCTCCTCCTCCTCCTCCTCCTCCTCCTCCTCCTCCTCCAAGCATGGCTCCAAGATGGTACCAGGCAGTCCAAAGATGGCCTTCGAAATTGAGACCTCCCAAACGGGGTCCGAGTAGATGGTGTCAGAGGATCGCTCCGCATCGGCGATACGTCGGCTACGCCAGCGATGCATCTGCGACGTCGGCGTGGAGGAGATCGGGCTCCACACTGAGCCGCATCGCCAATGCATCGGCGATTCGGCACGATCCTCCGACCCCTTCTGCTCCGACTCGATCTGGGAGGCCTAGAAGACCGCACAGGATGACCGAAGACGACCTCCAGCACGTCTCCAAGAGGCACCAAGAGGGCTCAGATGTGGCTCGAGATGGCCGCGCAGCCCCCCCCCAAGGGTACCCCCGAGAAACCGCGATCACCGCAAAATAATTGACGCTGTTTCACACTGTCGCCTTCTCGGGTTGACTTGGCTTTCTCGCTGGTCTGCTTCCCATGGGCCTCTGAGGCTTCAAGGCGGCCCCGTGATTCGCCAAGACGGGCCCGAGAGCGGCGCAGAAGGGTCCCAAGAGAGCCCCGGAGGTCCCAAAGATCACCCAGAGAGAGAGCCTAGATGCTTCACTGGTACTGTTTTGCTCCTCGTCCCACTTTCAGTCACCTGGGAGCCGTTCCCGAATAGGCTGGAAGTGATGAGCGAATCGCAAACAAGTCTGATGCGAAACCGAATGACAAGGTGGTAGGGACAGAGGACGCACATGTGACACCTGACACAAGGCAGAGGAGCGACCACGCAAAACGTAAGAAGCAGCGGAGGTGAAGGTGGCAGCGGTTATGGGCGAGTGACCACAGTCGGCGAAGAAGCATATGCGGCGGCTGTGGAAGCAATCTCATCCAGGCAGACCTACGCCCAAACACTCTGGAGTCAGAGACATGTGAAACTTACGTCCTTGCAGGAACTTGGTTGGTGATCATGGTCTGCACCGTCTCCCTGCGAAGTATCTGGACACCGTCCAAGCTCCCCATGTTCCGAATCATCAGCAGGAAACGCAAGTAGTCCTGAAATGTCGAGACCATGCCTCCCTTGATAGAGAGCGGTGTCTCAATAGTACCACCGGCTGAAAGAACCTTCGGAAAGCTCACAGCAAGGGATTAGCAGCAAGTAGCCCAGTCGCTGGAGAGGGTCCACTCCTATAGTTTACGTGCGATTGCCTGTTGCATCAGACATTATGATGTCAGTTCCTCTGTTTTCTCAATCAGACTTTACCTCGCGTGCCGCCTGTGAAAATTGCGCTTTAAAACTAAATTCTCTTACTGATACCCCCCAGGGCCCTTCAAACAACCCTCCCCTGGATCACCATGGATCCGTATCTTTCTCATTGGTGGTTCCACAAGGGAGCCCATCGCTTGCGTTGAAACGCGCCTGTAGCGTTCCTGGAGCTATGTGGATCGGACTCTAGCTAGTAGCGGACTTGCCATTGGCTTGCTTATCGGTTGCACTCGGCTTGGCTCTAGCTTGCGTTACGCTGGTTTTCTGTTCGTCCAACGTTACGCTTGCTCTTAGCTGGCCAAGCAAAGCCTACTTTCAACTTCCCAGGTGGGCAGTATCCTTAGCCTACACGAGGCGTGGGCTTGTGTGTTGACCTGCTCTTCACACACTGTCGTCAATGAGGCTTGCTGTTAGCTTCGCTGCACGTTGCCTGTGTATTCAGACTGGCGTCTGCTGCCTCCGGCTCGAAGCTCGGCGACGACCAGCTTGCATAAAGCTTGCTGTTGACATGCATGTGGCTCGTGTTCGCATGTCATTCTGCTGAAATGCAGTCTGATCTGAACTGGCTGTTCGCTTGGTCTAGCCGACATTCTGCGTGCGCTTACGTTGTATTTCGATTGCCTCACCTTGCTTTCCGATTACCGTGAGGTTGTTTGTCACTTGCCTTTGCGTGCTGTCCCTTGTGTATCAGACGAGACACCTCCGCCATCACAGCAAACAACACACCACTCCAATCGCGCCTGGCTCATCACTGTTTCTCCCACGACAATTGTGTTGCAAAGTCCTTTTATCGGGAGAGGCCAAGAGGGGGGTGTCCAAGAGCAAATCATGACCAGCGGCATGCGCGCGCGGCCCAGCGGGGGGGGCCAGGGACGTAACGCAATCAGACGAGGCGCCATGAAATCTTGGGAAATATCATGGCCCACGCCATGATATTCCCCCCCCCCCCCTAATCATCACCCCCCTTTTTTTGCCGCCCCCGCCTTTATTTTTGGCGGACTCCGGGACTGAACCAAAAACGTTTTCATCTCTTGGGGGTGCATTGCTCACTTCCGCCACCTTCCGCCGCCCTTCCGCCGGCGCAGGCGGCCTCGTCTTACTTCCGCCGCCCTCTTGCCTGGGAAGAGATGGCAGCTGCTTCGATCCTCGGAGGCAAGGCCCTGCGTGGAACGCCCCGTTTCGTTTAAGGCACGCGCGAGCGAATCTGGCTCCGGCACCGAAAGACGGCCGCGGTCTCCCGCAGATGGTCTCCCGCCCGGTTTCCCGCAGACGGTCTCCTGTAGATGGCTCTCTCCCGCACGGCCTCCCGCATCGTCTCTCGCGTGGCCTCCGGGGTGGTCTCCCGTCGTGGTGCCCGGTACAGTCAACCTGTATAATAAGGATGCGCGATAAGGGTGCAAGGGCCTTGGACGCCCATGTCGAGGCTTTTCGAGCGGGGCGAAGGATGGACCGAGGAGACAAGGATGCAAGGGTACCCTTGGGAAGGTTGCCCATCCTTACTGTGCGGGTTGACTGTATGGTCTCACAGGGTTCCTGTCCAAGGCGTTCCTTTGCAAGCACATCGTCTTCGGCACCGCCTGATTCCGGGGCTTTGCCCCCTCCTGGCCTTGACGTGAGGCCCCTCCTTCTGCCCCCCCCCCCTCTTTGGTAATTCAAGCTGTGCGCGGCCCGCTTAGCTTCGACCTGAAGAGGTGCGCTCTCGACCCGCAAATCAAAAAAAATGGATGGTCTCCCGTCCATGGTCTCCCGTGTACATGTTCTCTCCCGCGCGGGCTGCCGCTGCCGTCTCTCTCGCACATGGCCTCCCAGAGGGGCCCCCGTGTCTCCCCCCCTGGTCTCTCGTGCGGCCTCCCAGAGGTTCCCGTCGTGGGGCCTCCCACGTGTTCCCTCGGTATCGTCTCCCGCATGGGCTTCCGCATCGCCTTTCGGGAGGAGGAGGAGGAGGAGGAGGAGGAGGAGGAGGAGGAGGAGAAGGAGGAGGAGGAGGAGGAGGAGGAGGAAGAGCTGGACAGTCTCCTTTCACGGTCTCCCGCGTGGCCTCCCTCATGGTCCAGGACGCAGAAAAGATTGTTTTTGTTTGTTTTGTTGTTTTTTTGTTCTTTATAAGGCTGCCATTGTTGTGGAACGCGGGGGGCGCGAATCGGCAGAGTCCTCTTGTTCTCTCTCAGGGGGTGGTCCAGACCCCGGGACCGCAGGCCGGACCCCGGCCTGCGCCCGCCGATGCCCAGAATGCAGGGGACGCCCGAGGGTCCAGCCTGGAAGCAGAGATACTCCCGATGTTAGAATGCCTCCGCCGTGCACTGCTCTCTTGACTCTTTCGCTGTGCCGTGTAGGGTCCTCTGCCGCCTTCGTCTCATCCGTTGTTACTTCATCCGCTCGTCCTCCTGACTTCTCGGCGTCGAGCGAGGGAGGGAAGAGAAGGAGGAAGCCTTCTCAGAAGGCTCGGGAGTCCTCCGGCTTTCCGAGAAGTTTTCTGAGCCTTTTCCCGAAGACGCAACGACAACTCCTCAGAGGGCGCGAGGGCTTCTGAGAAGTCCCGCCGCCTTCTGAGAAGGACTTCCCCTTCTCGTTTCCCCCCCTCGCTCGCCGCCGAAATTTCCCCCCATGAAGTACAGCCAACCTGTAGCAGAAGGCTTATCTTTTTTATTAGGCAGCATAGAGGGCCGTTTCACGATGTTTGAACTCGCTCGCCAGTGAAAAGATTCCTTGACACTCAGCTCTACTCGCAATCGCCTCGCTGTATCAGAAGGCCTCGCGATGAGGACGAAAGGCCCTTGGACGCCCATGTCGAGTGTTCTCGAGCGGGGCGCGGCCGACGAAAGTGGTCACTGACCATCGCTCGGACGTCCTTTCCCTGTGTGTTTTTCGGTTTCGTGCGTGGTTTGTTTCGCGAAATGATCAGGGATGCTCCTCGATGGTCCTCGTCGAAGGAAGAAATGCACACGTCCGAGCGATGCCAAGGTCAAGGATGGGCCGATGAGGCAAGGATGCAAGGGTACCCTAGGGCGGGCGTGTCCTCCTACAGGCGGATTTTGAACGAAAAATGAAGATAGTCGAAAAAACATAAGAACAGTCAAACTGACTCAAAACAGCGTCCCCAGACTATGCTGTTTACTATTCTTGAGTATTCCTCCTGTGGAGGGACAGGCCCGACTTAAGGGTACTCTTGGGACGGTTGCCCATCCCTACCAGGCGGGCTGACTGTACAGTGGAGGCCAGTCCACAAAAAAAAAAACCTTCCACGAGAAACCCGACCCTGAGACCCCAGGAGGCCCATCGATCTTTGGCGTGGGAACGCCACGCCTCCCATGGCAGAGCCATCGGCACCCCAAGAAGCCCAGGGCACCCTCGAGGCAAGCAGGGTGTCTCTTGGCATGGGCCCCCACTGCACGGAGGCCGCCGAGGGGCGGCCCCGCCCGCCTCGAGGCGGGCGCCCCGCCCCCCCCCCCCCCCCCCGCGCGGCGAGGTGGGGCCCCCCGGGGGGGGGCAGCAGGACGCGCAGCGCTCGGGCCGGATGGGGGGACTCTCTCCGGGGACCGGGCCCCGCGTGTCCCCCCCGCCCGCGGCGGCGAGCGAAGGAGGGGGGGGGGAAGTGAGCAGGAGCCGGCCCTCCCGGAGGGCGGCGGGGCTTCTCAGAGAGGAGCCCTCGCGCCCTCTGAGGGGTGTTTGCCGCGCCCCCGGGGAGGGCTCAGAAAACTCCCCAGGAGGCCGGAGGACTGCCGAGCCTTCTGAGAAGGCCTTCCCCCTTCTCACGTCCCCCCCTCGCTGACCGCCGAGCTACTCCTCTCCCTTCAGTAAGCCTCTGAACCTTGGACACCTTGGCACCCACCCAGCCGCTCTCGGCGCCAGGGCCGTCTACTCTCTCCAGCGTGAACGTGGCCCCGGGCTTCCTCTCGATAGGATTCCCTTTGTCGTCCACTGGTCTCCTGTACCACGCTGCAATACGATGTGCCTTCTCGGGCGGCACCCGAAAGCAAGTATCTGACATCCCCAGCGGACCGCATACCCTCTCCTCGACTACCTCATCCAACGTCTTGCCGGAGATCACCTCGAGCACCCGGCCGAGGACGTCGGTGGCGAAGGAGTACTCCCAAGCAAAGCCAGGACGTTGCTTCAGCGGAATCTTGGCGAGCTCATTCACGAAATCCTCCAGCGAGGTGACCTGCTGCCGATTCACCCTGTCGATGAGGTCGGAATAGATACGGTAGTGATCGTGCTTCCTCGAGACAGAGGTAGAAAGAGAGAGGGGGAGACATTGGGGTGCCGCTGAAGAGCGCTCTGGCACACAAGTGGCCGTCCCCAGACGAGGAAGGAGGACGACGGAAGCCGAGGAGCGGGAGGATTAGGATTAGGAGCATGGAGTAAAGGAGAACGAGGCCGTGGAGAGAGAGGGAGGAGGAGGCGGAGGAGGAGGAGGAGGAGGACGACGACGAGGGAGGAGGAGGCGGAGGAGGACGAGGAGGAAAGGCAGGAAAATCTGCCCCTGGGAACGGCAGCCACATTCCCCCTCCCATCCCCTGCTTCTGAGAAAGATGTTGGAGAGGACGATGCAGTAGTCTCAATGCCTACGGCCTACGACGACTCGCGCGTGCTGGCTTGGAACCTGGGTCCATCCTCCAAGACGTCGCTGCGTGACGGTCCCTCCCCGGGCATTTCCTCATCCCCGTTTCATACTAGGAGACCTCCACCCCCACAAACAGAGAGAGAGAGAGAAAAGACACAGAGAGAGAGAGATAATATATATATATATATATGTATACAGATCTGATTCCCCATTCCCCCTTCCTTCCCCGTTCCTCCGTCCGAAAGCCACCTCGCCGCGAACACCCAAGGATCATCCATCCGCGCTCCTCCCGGGGGATCTCCGAGAGCATCCCCCCAGAGCCGCCAGCAGCCTCCGGGGCCCTCGAGAGAGCACCTCCGAAGACCGTCCCAAGAGTCCTGCTGTCCTCTCAGCCCTCTGCGGCGAGACCATGATCGGGACAAGACCAGATCGGGATACACGTCCTTCATGTCTATTCGTGCTCATTTCTGATGGTGCTCCTTTCTGATTGTCTCCGGGCCCCCTGGTGACCAGGAAGAGGCCCAGGATGGAACAATCAGGACCCCAAAGAATCGGAGAACTTCCAAAGAAATTCGCCGGCCCAACGGGCCAGAGGCGTGCTAAGATCTCCGGTGACTGCTTTACAATCTTTCTACTTCGCGCGCGCGGGGCGGCCCCTGGGGGCCCCCGGGCGGAAAGTACCCCGGCAAGGTCCCGAGAGAGTCCCGGGAGGAGTCACCAGGGCGCTCCAGCAGCGCACCAACGCGGCTCCGAGACGTCCCCGAGAGCCCCAAGAAGGGCCAAGAGGCTTCCAAGAGGCCCCCAAGATGCTACATGAGGGGTCCGAGATGCCACAAGATCGCTCCAAGACGCCCACGATGGCCTCCAGACGCCCCAAGAGGCCTCCAAGAGCACTCCCGAGAGGGCCCCAAGAGGCAAAATAGAATGCTTTTCCTTAGGTTTTGGAAAGATTTTGGCGTTTCCACCTTTTCGGCTTCACGACACCCCAAGACGGCCCAAGAGGCCCCCAAGACCGCCCCAAGAGGGCCCAAGAGGCCCCCAAGAGGGCCCCAAGACGGCCCAAGAGGGCTCCAAGACGGCCCAAGAGGCCTCCAAGACGGCCCAAGAGGGCCCCAAGAACGCCCCAAGAGGGACCCCAGGGGGGGAACACGAAACAATATTTCGAGCCCTCGGCCCTCAGAAGTCCCCAGGAGGCCCCAAGAGGCCCCTAAGAGGCCCCAAGAGGCCCCCAACAGGCCCTCAGGAGGCCCCCAAGAGGCCCCCAAGCGGCCCCAGGAGGCCACCCAAATGCCCCCCCGAGCACGCAAGCAAGTGCCTGCGACGCTACACTATGGGCCGGCGGAATGAGCGAAGCGATTCAAGTAACAACGAACAATGTGTAAAGCAGAGGATGCCGGCCCCATAATCCTGCTTCCTTTTCAGCCCTCTGAGACGAGACCAGGATCGGGACAAAACCAGTTCGGGATACACGTCGATCATGTCTAATCGTGCCCAGGACATAACAATTAGAAATGAAAGGATCCAGGCCCCCCAAAACAAAATCGGAGAACTCTCGAAGAAGTAGAAACGAACAATGTGTAAAGCAGAAGATGCCCTGGAGTGGCATCGGGCTGCTCCGGAGGAGGCGCCCAGGGGGCCGCTCCGGAGGAGGCATCTCGAGCGCCGCGGCGGTCCCCGAGCGCCCCAGACGTGTCCCAGATCATCTGGGCAGCCCTGGCCTCGCCCCTGGACTGACGGAGGAGAGAACGGAGATGGAGGGGAGGATGGAGGACGAGGGGGACGAGGGAGGAGGAGGAGGAGGGGGAGGAGGGGGGGGAGGAGGAGAAAGGAGGAGGAGGAGGAGGAGGAGGAGGAGGAGGAGGAGGAGGAGGAGGAGGAGGAGGAAGAGGAGGAGCAGGTGGAGGAGGAGGAGGAGGCAGGAGGAGGAGGAGGAGGAGGAGGGGGGGGGAGGAGGAGGAAGGGAGGAAGGAGGGGGAGCAGGAAGGAGGAGGAGAAAGGAGGAGAGGAAGGAGGAGGAGAGGAGGAGGAGGGGGGGCAGGGAGGAGGGAGGGGATGGGGGGGGTGGAGAGGGAAAAGCAGGAGGGAGCATGAGGAGGAGGAGGAGGAAGAGGAGGAGGAGGAGGAGGAGGAGGAGGAGGAGGAGGAGAAAGGAGGGAGGGAGGGAGGGAGGGATGGAGTGGGTGGGGGGGGTGAGAGGGAAAAGGAGGAGGGAGGATGAGGGGGAGGAGGAGGAGGAGGAGGAGCAGCAGGAGGAGGAGGAGGAGGAGGAGGAGGAGAAGGAGGAGAAAGAGGAGGACGGAGGGAGGAAGGGAGGGAGGGAGTGGGGTGGGGGGGTGGAGAGGGAGCAGGTAGGAGGAGGAGGAGGAGGAGGAGGAGGAGGAGGAGGAGGAGGAGGAGGAGGAGGGAGAGGGAGGAGGGAGATGGAGGAGGAGGAGGAGGAGGAGAGGAGGGAGGAGGCGGAGGAGGAGGAGGGAGGAGGAGGAGGAGGAGGAGGAGGAGGAGGAGGGAGGAGACGGAAGAAGGGAAGCGGGGAGGAAGCGGAGGGCGATGAGCAAGCGGGGCGGGGCTCCTCCATTCTCCCCCCCAGTCGAACCAGCTGTACGCCACCAGGCGCGTGGGCAAGAGCATGCGTCCAGCAATGCTCGTCGCGGGATCAAGGAACAATCGCGGACAAGAGGATTGGGCACACGAGGAGCACGAAGGAGGGTGGAACGCGTGACTGCGGGCGGGCGCTTGCCCACCGATGCCCTCCAGGACGCGGACGAGGGCGCGCCGAGGGCCAGCGGTGGCCTCGACACTGCTGGCGGAGGTTCGCGAGGTGAGCCTACGTCGGGCCATCCTCCGCTCCTTGGACTGTCGCGTCGAGCATGCGTCCCCGGTCCACGGCCACCGAGGGACCCAATGTTGTCGGCGGAAGCTAACGAGGTAGGCCTAGATCATCGGGTTGCCCCAGGTTCCCTGGGCCACCGATCCTCCTCCCTTCCTCCCCCCAGTCATGGGGGGCAACGATAGGGGGCGGCTGGCATAGGGGGGGACGCATCGACCTGGAATCGGCGATGCATCGACGATAGATCGGCGACAAGCCCCCGACAGCGAAACCGCACCTTCCTGGGCGGGCTGGGGCTCTCGGGCCCGCCTCGGCGATCAATCGGCAATTGGGGGTCGATGCTTGCCCCTCTGCAGTAGGAGCTCGACCACTAAAAACCTCCCAGAAGAAAACCAATCCTGAGACCCCAGGACGTTGACTGAACTTTTGGTGTGGGAACGTCACCCTTTCCACAGCACAGCCATCGAAACCCAAGAAACCCAGGGCCCCCTGGAGGCAAGCAGGGTGTTGCTTGGCATGGGCTTCCACTGTATGCCTTTGGACGCCCGAAATGGGTACGGAAAGAATGGGTACAATGCCCAACAACAAATGTTGTCCCAAACCAACAGCGGCCGCTGTTGGGCAGGCGGCCTTGTGTCTCGAATGAACACGGGCCGCGGCGGCGTGGACAGCGAGTCCTGTTCAAAATGAACAGGAACTGCTGTTGAGCATTGTACCCATTCTTTCCGTGCCCATTTCGTGCGTGCAGATTTATGCCCATTCCCCCGTATCGTTGCCCCCGGAGTCAGATCCCAGCCAACATCCTCTCCACAGCTCAGCCATCGAAACCCAAGAAACCCAGGGCCCCCTGGAGGCAAGCAGGGTGTTGCTTGGCATGGGCTTCCACTGTATGCCCATCTCCCCCCCTATCGTTGCCCCCGGAGTCAGATCCAGGTCAACATCCTTTCCACAGCTCAGCCATCGAAACCCAAGAAACCCAGGGCCCCCTGGAGGCAAGCAGGGTGCTGCTTGGCATGGGCTTCCACTGTATGCCCATCTCCCCCCGATCGTTGCCCCCGGAGTCAGATCCCGGCCAACATCCTTTCAAAGCTGATCCCTCGACCCCTCGCGGACACCGCCTTGACAGGCTTCCCGAGCCGCGTCCCGGCCGCGGCGACGAGGGGCACGCCCCAAGGCCCAGAAGGAGAGACAGAGGACAGGCATCCTCCCCCCTGCCTCCTCCTCCTCCTCCTCCTCCTCCTCCTCCTCCTCCTGCTCCTCCTCCTCCTTCTCCTTCTCCTCCTCCTCCTCCTCCTTCTCCTCCTCCTCCTCCTCCTCCCCCTCCTCCTCCTTACCTCCTTACCTCCTTACCTCCTCCTCCTCCTTACCTCTTTACCTCCTCCTCCTCCTCCTCCTCCTCCTCCAACTCCAACTTCTTCTCCCCGCATGTCGTCGGGATCTGCAGAAGTTCCTGGAAGCCCAACTCACGGGGTCGGCACCAAGCTGCCCAACATACACCCTGCTGGGTGGGCGAGGCCCACCAGGGGAAAACCAACCAACGAGTTAGCCGGAGCCTGACAGGGGCCAGCGCCCCAACTCTCTTGGTTCTCCAGAACTCTCTGAGCTAGGAGAACAGTTATCGTGTTGGGAGGAAGGGGTTGGGAGGATGAAGGGCATGAGCAATAGAATTCGGATACAACGCATGATACCTTCGGCCGCTTACGCATAATGATGTCCTCATTTCTCCCAGCCCCATCCTGCCAACCCGACAACTGCATTCCTGGCTGAGGTCTCCGCAAACCTCAGCAGGCTTCAAGCGTGTTTTGTTTGTTGTTTCTGAGCGGGCGTCACAGGAGCAGTTCCGTAGAACAGCACCGGCGGTCAGCCCACGCATGCACGGATGTCCACGGAAGTCCCCGGAGGCCTCTTGAAGCATCGGCCTGGAGGCCTCACGGGTGTCGATATCCAAAAGAAAATGAACAGACTCGATTCTCGATAATGCTCCTCATTCCTCCACCTCTCCCTCCCTCACCTCCCTCCTCCATCCTCTCCTCCTCCCCTCCTCCTCCTCCACCTCCTCCTTCTCCTCCGCCGCCTTCCGCCCTCACGCACACCGCCTTCCTCCTCCGCCTCCCGCCTCCGCCTCCTCCCCTCCACCTCCTCTCCACCTCCTCCACCTCCTCCTCCTCGTCCTCCCTCACCTTCCTCATCCTCCTCCTCCTGCTTCTTCTCAGCCTCCTCCTCTCCTCCACCTAACTCACCTCCTCCTTCCCTCACCTCCCTCCTCCTCGTTCGTCCTCCTCCTCCCCGTTCCCCTCCTTCTCTTTCTCTTTTGTCCCTCTCCTCCGCCTACCCACTCTTCTCCTCCCTCCCATTCCCCCCCTCCCTCCCCTCCCTCCGTGTCTCCCTCACTCCTCCTCATCACCATCATCATCCTCTCCCTCCTCTTCCCCCTCCTCCTCTTCCTCCTCTTCCTCCTCTCTTCACGCCTCCTCTTCAGTCCCCCATCCACTCCTTATCTCGATAAATTCGCCGGCCCAACGGGCCAGGGCGTGCTAAGATCTCCGGTACCTGGTTAACAGTATTTCTAGTTCGCGCGCGCGGGGCGGCCCCTGGGGGTCCCCGGACGAAAAGTACCCCGGCAAGGTCCCGGCAAGGTCGGGCCAGAGATGCCGGAGCCCTGTTACAGGGCCCCAGGACGGGCCAAGAGGTCCCCAAGAAGCCTCCAAGACGGTCCAAGAGGGCCCCGAGACGGCCAAAGATCGCCCGAAGACGCCCAACAGGGCCCCAAGACAGCCCAAGAGGCCTCCAAGACGCCCCAAGGGCCTTCCAAGAGGCCTCCGAAGAGGGCCCCAAGAGGCCAACATCGTTTATTTTCATTGTTTTTTTTTCTATGTTTTTTGCGTTCTGGCTTTTTCGCCTTCCGGACGCTCCAAGACGGCCCAAGAGGCCCCCAAGACCGCTCCAAGACGGCCCACGAGGCTCCCAAGACGGCCCCGGAACGGCCCAGGAGGGCCCCCAAGACGGCCCAAGTGCCGCCCAAGACGGACCAAGAGGCCCCAAGACGGGTCCAAGAGGGGCTCAAGAGGAGAACCGAGAACTGAAAAATCGAGCCCTCCGCCCCAGAAGGCGCCCAGGAGGCCCCAAAAAGGCCCCAAGAGGCCCCCAAGAGGCCCCCAAGACGCCCCAAGAGGCGCCCAAGAGGCCCAAAAGCGGCCCCAAGAGGCCCAAAAACGGCCCCCAAGAGGCCCCAAAACTCGGCTAGCCCACAACGGTGCGACAATATGGGCCGGCGGAATGAGCGAAGCGATTAAATAACTTCTCCACGTCGCACCCCGATGCCGGACGAAAGGGCGAATCGGGCGTTTCGCCTGAGACTTCCCAAAGTACCACTTATTACCCTGAAGTTTCGACATTCACAACAGCTTCACAGATGGAGGGCGGGTGGTGTTCAAAAAGTGGTTCTTGCCTTGGCGCCGCGCGCATTCGTCTTAACAAATACAAGAGTCTCACTTATTGAGGGCGGATCGTTTTCAAAATGTGGCTCTCGCCGCAGCGCCGCGCACACTCGTCTCAACCATGTGCAAGAGTTTCGCGTATTGAGGGCGGGATGTTTTTTGAATATGGCCTTCGCATCCGCGCCGCGCACATTCGTCTTAAACAACTGCAAGAGTTTGACGCAATTATCGCGGGTGGTCTTCAACATGTGGCTATGTCCTTAGCGCCCAGCCCGTGCGTCAAACAAATCGCAAGAAACTTCACGGATTGAGGGCGGTTCCTTGTCAAAATGTGGCTCTCGCATTCGTCTTCAACATTTGCAAAAGGTTCACGGATTCCCATGAGTAAATTACAGAAAACGGCCTTTTGGAACGATTCAGGATTCCCATGGAGCAGCAGTTACGTTGATTCGCGGTGCTGGAGTCCCAGGAACGGCGTTCTGGCACGATTCAGGATCGTGAAGAAGCAACAGTCAGGTTCACTCGTGGCGTTGAAATCCCGAGAATGCTGTTTGGCACGCTTCAGGATCTTCAAATGGTTGCCCCCCAACGGGGCACTTCCCCCAGTGGAGATAATGAATCCTTGTAGGAGCCGACATGAAGAGGGAATTTCGGGGGAGGGTTTATCCCAACATCGTTTAGGAGTCTTGGGTTTACGCTGGTCCTTCTCCTCCCCCTCCATTTTTGACGTTGCGCCGACATAGATCAGATGATCATTGCGTCTTGTGGCTAAGACGATTAAAACGGCCGACTTAGGCCTGGAGCTAACAAAATACGCCCGGCTGGCGCAGCGAAAAATAGGACGACGCAAGAACACGAGTGCCCGCAAGGGGCAAACAGTATGCACCAGCCAGACAGTGGGGTAGAGACAGAGGTCGAAGCGAAGCGAAGCTTAGAACGTCTATCGACAAACCCTCCTCCTCCTCCTCCTCCTCCTCCTCCTCCTCCTCCAAATCCTCTTCCCCCTCTTCCCTCCTCCTCCTCCTCCTCCCTCCTCCCTCCTTCTCCCCCACCCCCTCCCCCTCCCCCTCCCCTCCCTCCTCCCCCTCCCCCATCCCCTCCCCCCTCCCTCCTCCTCCTCCTCCTCCTCCTCCTCCTCCTCCGCCTCCTCCTCCTCCTCCTCCTCTCTCCCCTCCTCCTCCTCCTCCTCCTCCTCCTCCTCCTCCTCCCTCCTCCTCCTCCTCATCATCATCATCATCATCATCCATCATCATCATCATCATCATCATCATCATCATCAACATCATCATCATCATCATCATCATCATCATCATCCCCCCTCCCCCTCCCCCTCCCCTCCCCCCTCCCCTCCCCCTTCCTCCTTCTTCCTCCTCCGCCTCCTCCTCCTCCTCCTCCTCCTCCTCCCCTCCTCCCCCTACCTCCCTCCTCCTCCTCCTCCTCCTCTTTTTCCTTCTCTCCCTCTCCTCCCCTCCTCTTCCTCCTCCTCCCTACCTCCCTCCTCCTCCTCCCTCCTCCCTCCTCCCCTCCTCCCTCCTCCCTCCTCCCTCCTCCCCTCCTCCCTCCTCCCTTCCTCCCTCCTCCCTCCTCCCTCCTCCCTCCTCCTCCTCCCTCCTCCCCTCCCTCCCTCCTCCCTCCTCCCCGTCCTCCCCCCTCCGCTCCTCCCTCCTCCCTCCTCCCTCCTCCCCTCCTCCCTCCTCCTCCCTTCCTCCCTCCTCCTCCTCCCTCGCTCAAAAACCTCCTCCCTCCTCCCTCCTCCCTCCCCTCCTCCTCCTCCTCCTCCCCTCCTCCTCCTCCTCCTCCGCCTCCTCCTCCTCCTCCTACCTCTCCTCCTCCTCCTCCTCCTCCTCCTCCTCCTCCTCCTCCTCCCTGTCCTCCCTAACCTCCCTCTCCCTCCTCCTCCTCCTCCTCCTCCTCCTCCTCCTCCTCCTCCTCCTCCTCCTCCTCCTCCTCCTCCTCCTCCTCCTCCTCCTCCTCCTCCTCCCCCGCACAAGGCGGCGGGGCGGAGGGGGGCTCCCAGGCGGCCAGGTGTCGCCCAGCGTCGGCCCGTAACCCAGGCCTCCGCGGCCGCGCCCCCCCTCCGGCAGCCCCGACCCTGTGCCCTCTGCTGCCCCCGCCGGCGTCGCCCCGAAGCTGGCGGCGCGCACGGGCGACCTGCTTCTGAGAAGACGCTGGCCCTACATTTAAGTCGGGCGTGTCCCCCTACCGGGGGATTCTCAACGAAAAATAAAAATACCCCCAACATACCCCAAAAAGGCCAAACATAGTTTTAAAAATAGTCCCCAGACTATGTTTGGATTATGTTTTGATTATGCTTCGTGTATATGAATTTGTTGTCGAAAATCCCCCTGTAGGGGGACAGGCCCGACTTAACCCTACATCTATGACGCCCGAGATGGATACGGAACAAGTGGACACGATGCCCAACCACAGGTGCTGTCCAAAGCCGGCAGCGGCCGCTGTGGGGCAGGCGGCCGTGTCGCGTTAGGGAACACCGTCCGCGGCGGCGCGGACAGCGAGTCCTGGTCAAACGGGCAAGAACTGCTGTTGGGCATGGCACCCGTTCCTTCCGTACCCATTTTGAACGTCCCGAATCTACAGAAAAGGCCCGCGCCTTCTAAGAAGCATGGGGTGTGCTTCTGAGAAGCCTGCACGGAGTCGAAAGCGAAGGGGCTCCACTTGTCTGTCCCCTTCCTGGAGCAGGGGTGCGCAGCGAGCGCATCGCCTGCCACATCCGCCGCTGTCCGAGCCTGGGTGATGAGGGAGGATTGGCGGGGGAGCGAGGCGGCAGGGATAGGGGAATCACCGAAGGATGGATGGATGGATGGATGGATGGAACATCACCAAAGAGGCCCTGGCGACCGTCTGCACGCAGACGACCGCCAGGGCCCCCAATGTCGATTGGTTCCCGCGCCGCCGCGAGTACGCCGCACGGACGCCGAGGCGACGAGGGAAGAGCCCCAAAGAAGCCCAGATAGGCATCCGTCACGACCCTGACCCACCCCGAGGGCAAGCCAGGAGAACGGAAGCCACCCCCGCGGGGACCGACGGGCCACCCAGACGGCCCCCAGAGGCCGGGGAAGCACAGGGGGAGGACAAGGAGGGGCTGGAAGAGTTTTGATTTAGGTCGGGCATGCCCTCCTACAGGCGGATTGTTGAAGATGAATAATGAACAATCGAAAAATGTTCAAACAATAGCCAAAAAGAGTCGGAAAAACCATCCCCTGATTATTTTTCGACTATGCTTTAATATTCCTCCTGTAGAGGAAAACGCCCGACTGAAGTTTGGATGTAAGAAGAAAGAGGGCTGCGCCTGCAGCGGAAAAGCGACAGCGGCTGCAGCGGCAAGATCCGCCGGAGCAGTGCGAGGCATAGCTGCACCCGCGGCAGCAGCGGCAGCGGCAGCAGCTGACGCGACGACAGCGACTGCCGTTGCATCGGCAACGGCAGCGAAGAAAGGCAGCGCCGCTCGCCTGCCGTGTGGCACAGCAGCTGCCGCAGGGTGGGGACCTTGGGCAACTTCTGCCTCACTACCTCGGCAGTCAAGCCCTCCCCGCTGCGAGTGCACTCGCCTCGATCGGAGCCCGTCGCAACCTTTGACGCCATTGCCCATGCCACCTTCGAACAAGTGGCTACCATCACCACCAACACCAACATCCACGCAATCATCGTCACGGGAATGGCACGGGCATGGCACGGGAGCATTGTCATCACTGTTACCACCGTGCTCGCCAACATCTCGGCCGCTTGCTCCATCACAATCTGCGCACTCCACGCCATGGGATGAATTCTACGAATGAGAGGCATCAGGAGGAGGATACCAGGTAAAATCACACAGGATGAAGAAAATGATCGCGTAACTGGGCTGGGTTAGCGAAACCATGATCAAGCATGAAGTCCTTGTGAACACATCCCACTTCCCCAGGGCCAACACGGCTCCAGGTGACCACGGCGCAGGGCAAAATCATCAAAAAAGACCTCAAGCTGGCCCCGAGACGACCCCAGGAGGGCCCCAAGCAGGTTTGTTCCTTCCTCTTGGTCTCTCTCGCCTTTCGGGCCATGACTCGGACCTCTGGCGGCCGTTCCGGGACGATCCGAGCACCCCCGATGCCCCCCCCGGGGAGGCACGGCTGCTGGAGCGCACCCCGAGGCCAGAAAATGTCCAGGGACCGACGATAACGTCAGAGGAACTGGGCCATCCCCTCCTGCACGTTACCCCCAGGAGTGCCTGGAATCGAATCGAGAAATCGGATCGGCGATCGAAGTGAATCGGACCGACGGAGATCAGCAGCCAAGTCGGGAAAAGTCGAACCCGCGGACATCGGCAGGCTAGTATGCCTCTAGTGAGAAATCGGATCCCAAACCGGAATCCCAAGTCGAGCCGAATCGACATCGGAAACCATTGAAGTCGAATCGAATCGAATCGGAGGAATCGGAACGAGCCCTGCCACCCCGGGACCAGACAGCGCCCCTCCCTGGACGCGCCGCCTTCCCGGCGGTGTTCCTCACGGTGTACGTGTCCGCCGCGAGGTCGCGCGGCTTGACCGTGCCTCTGGCGGCGGAGCGCCCAGGGGGGGGCCAAAGGCGGCCGCACGCCCTGGAGGTCGGAGGGGGGCGGGGAGAGGAGATGGAGGAGGAGGAGGCGGAGGAGGAGGAGGAGGAGGAGGAGGAGGGAGGAGGAGGAGGAAGGAGGAGGAAGGAGGAGGAAGGAGGAGGAGGGGGGAGGCAGCGCCAGCGCATCCCCCAAAATTCGGCGGTGGCAGCACGCCCTCCACTTCGAAGAAGGGGGTGGGGGAGAACAGGAGCGGCGACAACACGGAGAAACGGGGGGGGGGGGGGGGGTGGCGCACGCCGGAAATCGGGGCGGACGCTCCGAGCGGGCACGGGCCAGAGCCTTCCAGCCACAGGCGTGTTTTTTTGGAGGCCCCGAGCCGCGCCGCGCCGGGCCAGCGGTCGAGCAAGAGAAGGACGAGGAGGACGGGAGGCAGAGAAGATGGGGCAGGGGACAGCGGGGGAGGAGGGGGGAGGAGGAG